TTTATATGAAAAGCATTTAGACATCTAGAGCCCACCAAAAAATGTGTGGATGAATTAAGTTCTAGGGGCGAAAAGACTCATCAGTTTGAAACAACTGAGGAAAATAAAGCATATTAACTGATCACAGATACTGAGCCACTCCCCACAGACACACTACAATGGTACAGTGAAACTGACAAGTGTACGATACAAAGCTCTTGTCAGGCCTTTCTTGAACTAGGTAAGAACTAGAAGCAATTTTAAAATTGTGAATATTAAGAGTAGCTATTTTTCAATCTGAATTTCAGTTTGGGATTCATTTTTATTTATGTTCTTTGAGAATAATTGTCAGAATACCACCAGATAAATACCATTCACTTTGGAAAGACTCATTAATTTAATTTTGAAAAATTGACCCCTCAATAGGAAAAAACCCTAGAATCAAAGAGTTTCTCCAATAATGTATTGATACTGATGCTCATCTCACAACACATACGTCAGGATTTTCATACTCTTATCAGGCAGCAAACTTCAATAGTTCAATCAGCAAGCTAATTCTCCATTTGACATCTGTTGATACTGCTCCAATCTGTGGCTATTATGCATTTACTGGCTAACCTCACAATGGCAATAGCTTTTAAAACTGCACTTGAAATGAAAAACTGATTTTTCTGTTCTTAAGGCAATAGTGCCATCTCGTGGGAAATATTCAGCTCTGTGTCCTGTGCTGGGCAAAGGAGCCCAGAGCCTTTCTTAGACAAACAATTCCTCAGGAAAATGAGATGTAATTTTTTTTTCCCTTAAATTGGTGTCTTCAGGCTAACACATAAACTTTCATCTAAAATGCCCACTAGCCCTTTCTAGTCACTATGGGAAGGTTTCATAAGGTTTTTACTCTGCTTCCAGGTGAAGCCCCTATTTGGGTACATGCCAAGAGAGCGCAAGTCCTCCATCCTGCCAGGATGGTCCCATGGGCAGAAGGGAGAGCAACCAGCCCAACTGCAAGCAATGCTATTCTGCATTTTCCAGCAGGACCAGCCTCGCCAGCCAAGTCCATGCTGTGAGCCATCAGCTCTGCTGCATGTTACACGCATACATGCAACAACTGCCAGACACTTTACCCTGCTTGTCCTGTCAACATTTTCTGATCATTTTATCTGATTTTGTGCCTCTTCTCCTTTTAATGGCTTTTCCCTTCAGTTCCTGCAGAGTCAAAACAAAAACATCATCTCACAAGCCAGAGAGCACCAGACACCTTTTGACATTTAAAATGCTGTTTGTCCTGCAGAGTGTAAACAATGAGGATGCATCTGCTTTTCCCACAAGCAGTGGGTCTTCTTTATTTCCCTTTTTAATAATGGGGGTTATGTTTGCTCTTTTCCACTCTATGTGAACTTCATGGGACTGCCATGATTTCTCAGATATGATGGATAGTGGCTTAGTCACTTCCTTGGCCAGTTCCTGTGGATATTACTCATCAGATGTCATGGATTTGTGTATATTCAGGCTCCTTAGATGTTCTCACACGCATTCTCCTCCTACAGCAGACAGTTCTTCATTCTCCAAATCCTTGACTTCACGGTATTCAACTTTGGTAATGTGGCTGGAGCACTTGCTGGTGAAGACTGAGGAAAAGAAGTCGTTGAATACCTCGGTCTTCCCCATGTCCTGGGTAACTAGGTCCTTGCTGAGAGTACACACATTTTTCCCTTGTCTTTCTTTTGTTGTTGATGCACCTGAAGAGGCTTTTTTTGTTACTTATGATGCCCTTGGCCAAATTTACATCTTCTGGTGCTTCTGCTTTCCTGAACAGAACCTTGGCTTTTGGGACAATTTCTCTGTGTTTATCCCAGGCTACCTTTCCCTGTTTCCAACCTCTGTAAGCTACCTGTTTAAGTTTGTCCAGGAGTTCCTTGCTCATCCATGCAGGTCTCCTGGTGTTCTTCTCTGATTTCATCTCTGTAGAAATGCATTGCTTTTGACCCTAGAGAGACAACCCTTGAATATCATGCAGCTCTTCTTGGGCCCCTCTACCCTCCAGGGCTCTCTCTCACAGCACTCTATCAAGGAAATCCTTGAAGAGACCAAAGTCCGCTTTCCTGAAGTGCGGGGTAGCGTGTTTGCTTCTCACTCTTCTCATTGACTCAAGGATCTCAAACTATACCACCTTGTGGTTACCGCAGCTCAGGCTGCCCTTGAGCTTCATATTCCCCACCAGCTTCTCCTTGTTGACAAGATAAGGTCCAGCATACCTCCCCTCATTGGTTCCTTTGTCACATAGAGAAGGAAGTTTTCATTAACACATTTCTAGAACCTCCTGAACTGCCTGTGCCCTGCTGTGTTGTCCATTCAACAGGTATAAGGCCGGTTGAAGTCCCTCAGGAGAGCCAGGGCTTGGGAACATGAGGTTGCTCCTACCTGTCTGTAGTGAGCCTCATTGACTCAGTTCTTCTGGCCAGATGGCCTGTAGCAGTTCCCCACTAATAATGGCACCTGTTCCTGCCCTCCCTTTAATCCTTACCCGTAAGGTCTCAGACAGCTCCTCATCCATACTCAGGCCGAGCTCCATGCACTCCAGCTGGCTGACAGAGAGGGCAGCACCATTCATCTCCCATCTTTCCCTCATAAAGTGCATTTGCCCTTCCATTCCAGCCCTCCAGACACAGAAGCCATCCCACCACTTCTCAGGATGCTAATTAGGCCATAGCCCTGTAGGCCAGCGCATGTCTCTGTTTCTCCTGTTTACTTCCCATCTTACCTGTTTTTTTAGAATAGAGGATTTAAGCTGGGCCCTGGTGAAGCTGACTTCCTGCCTGGAGTGGCTGGAATTCCTTGGTGCTGTTCCTTCAAGTGTCCTCCACTGACATGCACACCCTCCTCTCCAGGCTCTAGCCATCTCTTTCTGGCTCAGAGATGGTATGAATGGGATGGCATGTTGTCCCATATTTTATCACTGTTAAATCTCTTCAGCTCTCTCTCTAAATTTTTACATTTAAAGTGTAATAAATGCCCACAGTAAGAGTTAACTGGACAGGATTTTTTTCACTGTATTAGCAAAAATTACTGATCTATCAATACTGTATGAAAGCCCATGAAGTGTGACACTGAAGAGGCCTCAATCAAATATTTCAAGCCTACAAATACTCAGTGCCACACTTTCAAAATACTCCTATTAGTGTACAAAAACTACAAGTTTTTATTACAATAATTTCAAAGTAACAATGTATTTAAGCAAGAACTATTACTGCCTTGCTAAAGGACAGGCGGGCATTTATGCATAAATGTCAATAAAGCCCTGGGGATTGCTGCAGTATTGGCATTTTATGATCGTTCTGTGCAACTTCTGCACTGTAGTTAGAAAATTCAGTTTATCACAAGGATATATTTAAAAGGCTGCTGTGTCTGACCGGCACATCCTATGATTATTGCTGTTTTCTAAAAATTGTAAATAAGCACCAATTAATTACATTGTTTTCAAGTAATAGCTAACCTCAACATTCTTCAACATTCACCATTTAGGTTATATTAAAATCCTATCAAGATAAACTGCATCATTTGGAATCTGTGGAACGCAAACATTCTAGATGCAATAATTCTATTTCCACCTGTAAGATTACATCATGGGTTCCTGAGAGCTTTGAAAATTTTGCCAAATTATCCTGTTCTGCATGCACTTTTTTTTTTTTTTTTTTTGCAATCAGAAGAGTTTAGCTTCTAAAATTATAAATAAGCCTTCTATAATTTAAAAAAAAAACACTGAACACAAACTCCATTTTAAGTGACAGTTGCCATTCACATTATTGAGAGATTTGATGTATTTCTGAGAAGAAAAGGCATCAGCAAAGTTGTTGAATCCAGATACTGCACCACAGGAAGATGTTTGGTTAGCGCCCTGAGGAAGAAAAAGGTGCATTTCAGTGCAACTGTATTTTCTAAATCTCTACACTGGGTTGGCTTCAACATAGGCATACACTCAAACTGCCTAAAATCCCTCACTTCACTGTCACCACTTAGCTATCTCCATGGAATCTGGAAGCCAGCACAGCAAACTGTCTCTTGTGTAGGGAAGGAAGCAAGTTTTACTTACTACAGCACTGGTCACAGTGAAGGCAACCAGCAGACAGAAACTGTGACAGTGGCCCAAGTAGAATGAAAAAAACAAGCTCCCCTCCAAGTCAGAAATCTCAGCCTTTTGCTACACATAAAAAAAGGGCTACCCAATTTCAAAATAAGACTTGGGCAATTATTTTAGAATCAAAGATGTTCAACATGTTATTTTGTTCCTTTGTTCAATTGTTTAAGGGCTGAATGTGAAAACCATGAGTCACTAGGAACAAATATGCCTACTTACTTTTGACTCTCACTGTTGAAAGACTCAACAACTTTCTAGTTTTTTTTCACAACCTGCACACACACAAAAAAGTGAGCCCTACCCAAAGCCTCTCACATTTTCAATACTCACATTTCAAGTTGAGGGCACCTATGTTCATTTAATAAGATGGACTAACAATTAGAAAAATATACACATTTTTTATAGAAATAATTACAAATGTTGTGTAACCATACCATACGCAGAGCTCTGCTGTTTTACGTAACTTATTTGCACAACCTTCCCTTCCTGCTCATCCTACACTTATTTTCCACTCCTTTGATGCTTTTAGTAAATCAGGAGTAAATTTAGGTTACTAATTCCAGGAGGCAGGAATGTGTTGTGTATGTATCCAAAATGACAGAAACACTTCTAAATTATATAGTTACTTATTCAGAAGGGCACTAAAGCAAGGGGAGTAGGGGGAAAGCATTCCAAGATACACTGTTGATACTTCAGAGAATTTAAATATGATCTTCTTCTCATACAGTATCTCTACTGATCATTATACCAGCCAATAACTACCCGTCAGCAGCTTCACCTCATCCAAGACTATCAAGCAATGGTATTTATTCCCAATGTTACAGTGTATATGTGGCACATCAGCATTTTTAAGAGGTTGCCTACACTCCTGTTTAAAATACTTGATGCTCTTAACACTACAGACATTTAGCAGAGGCTTACTTGACCAGGCAGGAGACGACGCCCACAGCAGCAGCTTTTGCTTCTAACTCTGCTTCTGCGACAACACTACAAGAGAAGAGTTTGACAAATCTTTTCTGAGAGAGAAGGTTTAATAAAGACAGATTCTACAAGCAAACTTGCCATGCTAGAGACAGAGTTTGAGGACAGACAGGAAATACAATAAGCTTTCTCCTTAGAACAGGCTCTGACAACAACCATACATCTGCATAATTAATTCATTAAGGAAAATGGAACTATTCATCCTATATACAAGATGAAGCACTAAAACCTAATTTATATTTGATATACTACTCAACCCATATAGGAATAGTTAAAAACTTATCTTTTTAAATTTTAAAAACAGTGCTGAAATCCACTTTATTTCCCTTAACATTTTCCTTTAACAAAATACGTACCGGAACAGTTCTTTTGGTGACTACCTCTCCCTTCACAATTACATTACCATTTTCCATCAGAGCAGGCCAGACGTGATAGGCCACAAAGCAAGCTGTGAAATCTGAGTCACAACTACGATAGTACCTGTTGAAACAAACAGTACAAGAAATGTTTGCATATAAGTGCCAAAAGATAAATATGTTTCAAATCATAATGCTGATAAAAAGTAGCTACAACTCTAATATCTTTCCATATCACAAAAATACATATTCTTTATGTGATCCTGTAAAAGAAATGGACATGGAAGACAGACTTAGCAGAACATACTGTTTACTTATACTGACAGACATTCTAATAAAGCCATCTCACACTTAGAAGGCCACTAGATCTTAATTTTTGCATAAATCCCACACAAGCCAGGGCCCCTGTGTTCACTGACAAATTAAACCTTCTGAGAAGCGATTTAACAGACACAGACATCCCCTCTTCCTGAAATACCTTGCTAAAGCAAACACCCTATAAAGGATATTACAGAAATACTCAACTATATACATCCTAGTATCTTATGAGACATGAGGCAACTTGATTAGCAAGATCTTCATATATTGATAATGAAACACTGACATTTTTGACTATGAAAAATTAATTCAAAGGTATATAGACTACTTCTCTAACTCTGGAATATTGGCCAAATAACGCATCTAGATTTATAGATTCAAACTCAGAACAAATACCAAATAACAGAAATTTTTAAAAAGCTATGGATCTATACTTTAGTAACATATTACAATAGCAAGTTATATAAAACAATGTTGTAACCAGAGGCATAAAGCAAGGCAATAGGGAACAATGATGTTTGGCTGACCCTTTATAGACTGCTACCACACAATAAACAGATATTTTAATTTCTACAAGTTTTGCTCCATCTTTGTGTACCACATATACATGTTATATATGTAAACATATACATGTCCCACATTTTTCTAGATAGGTAGATAGATATGAATATGTGCCTCCCACAGCAGCACAAAAAAACATATTACATGTGGTTTCTTAAGGCCATACACACCAAGCAGGTAGAGAAAGCATCCCAAGACTATACCACAGTGTTAGTGCTTCCTAATTTAGCCAATAGCTATGAGTCTCAAAAGCTAGCTGCCCTGTATTTGGATAGGATTATTGAGTCGTCCTACATGACTTTGTACTCTGTCCAGTCTACTTTCATCTTCTTTATTTCCCTCCTTGACTTCTCAAGCTCTTCACCACCTGGATTCCACTCTATTCTAAATTATTACTAGAAACCTCCTTAGTGATGTCATGTTTTTTTTCTTTTGAGAGCAATTTTTTATGACCTATCAATCCCATTAATTTTCTAGACAACATGGAAGCACCCTACAGCTCTCTGCCTGTTAAAAAAGCGGCTTTACCCTATAGAAAAAAGGAAAACTCTGTCACGGTGTGGATTTTTTTTTACAAAATTCCCATTCTTAAGAGGCAGTTTTGGTTTTTCTCAGCTCTAAGCCAGAAGCAATGGGTGTATATTAATACTTGTATGTTGTACAGCAGACATAGCCTGGAGGTTGCAGCAAACATGTTGATGATCCTGGTAACAGCATCAACTGCCAGATCTCAGTAAACATGACTTTTATAGAACAGGCCAGTAAGGAGGAACAAAGATGCAAACATTTTTAAAAAGGCAGATAGAGACTAAGCAGGGAAAGCTGATGATAATTTTCTTCTTAAATGATAAATTAAATTAAATATGTTCTTGAGATGAAGTCAATCCAGAAAATTGCTCTGCTGTTCACTAAAACAATAATTGTTAACGCTTGTGTATGTGCTGGTATTTAGACACTATCCTAAACCTTAAAGACACACCAAATTCACTACAGGCCAGGGTTTTTTTTCTGCAAATTAATGTTTAGTAATCTTAAACTTTTATATTAATTAGGAAACAAGTAGACTACACAACCTTTAATGGTAAGAGTCTGACTGAATCTAAAGATTTCTTACATGCACTTATTGAAAAGCTCTCCATCAACACCAACAGCAATATCAAGAGCAGGAAGAAGTGTCTGCATTTGAAAAGCCAAACAGCACAGCTCTCGAATCAAACAGCTGAGCACAGCAAAATCAACCTCTACTGGACACGGAAGCTTTGGATTCATGCTCAAGGTGCAAATTACTTCCTGAAAATAAACATACATAGTAATTTGCATTAACGATTTTATTCACAAGCAAGTATAGAAATCCCCCCTTAAATATGCCTCTCAGCTTTCTACATTTAAAAATCAGTATAAGAAACTCATAGTAACATTGCCCTGGTCTATTCCTGAAAACAATAGCTTCAGAAAGAATATGTTGTAATAAAAAAATAAAACAAACTATTACTAAGTCATATATATACTAGTCCTAGCAATATTGTTCTGGAAAGTTAACTGGTTACAGTGCATTTCTCGTTTACATATTCTGAATTTACTAGCTCCTGAAAGAGATCACCACATCACTTCCCCGCTGCCCTTGACTTACCTGGACACTGCAACAAACGTCATACACTTCCTTGTGGCAAGCCATATAATCCAGGATAGCAAGTTCAGCTGACCCAGGTCCCGCCAAGTGACATAGAGGCAAAGTCTCTTTTAGATGTATTTTGAGCTTCCAGAAGGCCATCCTTGCTGCACGGAAAGATTCCTGCAAACACAAGGAACATCTAGTTAAATACATGAGAGCAAAATTATTTTTCATCAGTTATCTGAGAAAATGAATTTAACCAACTATCATCATAATAAGGAGGAATATAATACACTACTGTAAAGGAGAAAGTTAACTCATTGGGAAGGAATTCTCTGATTGAATTGGATTGGAGAGTGTAAACTGAATGACAGTTGAAATAAAAAATCTTTACTAAGCTAAATGTGCTTGGGATCACACATTAAGAGATGCTGCCTCTCTAACACAGGTATGTCATATCATTTTTATAGAAAAGAAGATTCAATACAGAAAAAATTAGAACTTTCTTCAAACTGAGTTAATGATAAATGTGGGGTATCTAGGTGGTTTCAAGGGACCTAATTAAACTAAAGAAGCTCATAGCTACAAGCATAAGGAAAGCATGATATGGAAAGATTTTTAGCTTTGTAGTGTTGTAGTATTTAACGTGGCACTCAAAAAAGAATTTTTCTAAGGCAAGGTTGAGCACTGCAGGCATCATCTACTTTTCAGACCAATTTAGTCTTCTTTTAGTACCTGTACAATAAATCACTGACCCTGTTCCAATCTTGGGACAAGTCAGATAGAACACTACATTGAGAGTTCAATGTAGAAGTGTGAGGGGAAGAAAGAAAAACCAAAATAAAAAAAGAAGAAAGCTTTTCTTCTCTGCATTTGACAGAAATGCTAATGTACCCACAATTTAATCCAATGCAGACATAGTGTTTTACAACACACCTCTCTTGTAAAATGAGAAATACTATTTCTTTCTCACCACAACTGCAAGGTATATTATCCTCTGCACCATCTCCATGTCACAGACGAATGTCCTCAAACGGGCCTCTGCATCCAAGCGGTCTTTAGCATAGATGAAGTTGAAGCGCGCTATGAGGCAGGCGCGACGCGAAGCATGAACCCGTCTGCTCTGGGCAGGTGACCAGCTCTTCACGCAAACAGATCGGCCACTCCCACACCGGAAAGGAGGGCAAGGAGGGCAAGGAGGGCAAGGAGGGCAAGGAGAGCAAGGAGAGCAAGGAGGGCAAGGAGAGCAAGGAGCGCAAGGAGGGCAAGGAGAGCAAGGAGCGCAAGGAGGGCAAGGAGAACAAGGAGAGCAAGGAGGGCAAGGAGAGCAAGGAGCGCAAGGAGGGCAAGGAGGGCAAGGAGAGCAAGGAGGGCAAGGAGAGCAAGGAGGGCAAGGAGAGCAAGGAGGGCAAGGAGAGCAAGGAGGGCAAGGAGAGCAAGGAGGGCAAGGAGAGCAAGGAGGACAAGGAGAGCAAGGAGGGCAAGGAGAGCAAGGAGGGCAGGTCCGTGCAAGCCTACGACACACAGGCAAAGAAGCTTCATGTCACTTTATCATCCTCAGATGTTTTTCCCTAAGGCAGACTTTTTGTCAATTTAATTTTCACAAGAGTAAGGTGAGATTTTTGCCAACATAATTAAAGAAACTACAGCTTCTGTCTAATATGAAGGCATTTTCATCAATACCTTTTAAGGGCTAAAACATAAATGGTAAAGTAATTCCTAAAGCATGTGTAGCCAAGCACTTTGTTCCTAGGAAACACACTTTTAACTAGTAATATTTTGACATTTGTTCCTCTTTCAGTACCACTGAAGAGTACTGCTGAAGTCAAACAAGTGAAAATTGAACACTGTACGATTACAGGGCAGAACTTTTTTATAAGAGGACTCACCAACAAAAAAAATCTCTTTTTATTCCATACAGTTGCTCTCTATGTATTTTGTAAAGGTGCCTTATTTGCTGTTTTGTCCGAAACTTGACAAAGTTGCTTTAAAATAAAATATTTGGACACTAGAGGAAGTCATCTAAAGACTTTATGTTCCTTCGTTACAAAGTGAAAAAGCCTAGCTTTCGTTTACACTTCAATTTCAAATGAGCAGAAAATTCATGCTACCTAACATGACTGATTTCTATGATTCAGGGACTTTTCTGAGTAAGGCCTCTACCTGCTCTGGAGAATAGACTTTAGGGCATCCAGGATAGAAACTTCATCCCACAGTAGTTGAATCTGATGCTCACAGTCATTCGCTTGCTCTGACTTCCTCAAGGCTTTGCAGCCTTCAGCACAGGAAGCCCTCAGACTTAATCCCATAGAACGGTCAGTCACAAGATGTCCTATCAATGTAAACTATCAACTAATCCTCATCATCAAACAACAGGATTTGAAAAAAGAGGGAAATTATTGAGCAAGCTCCTTATGTTTTGTTGAATAATTTCAGCATGCTTTCCTTATGCTGAAATACAGGAAAAATCAAGAGTTTAAAAACAAATGAAAAAAAGCACACCCTTGATCTTACTTTAAATTGTGTAAGTGTATTGTGGCAGGAGAGTGGATATAGCACTCTATCCTGTAGGAAAAAATCACTGGTTAACATCTGGTGTCCTTATGCTAGCTCAAATGATCAGGTCTAAAAGAAACTAATTTCTTTCTCATATTTAAGATGTTAACTAAACCAGCTCAGTTTTCTTTCCTACAGATCTAGAACCCAGGTGTTTTCTTCTATCAGGTTCATTCTCACAGATGTTATTCAAGTAATAACAAAAACTAACAATTCCTCTCCTGCTGTCCCCAAAAGGAGTGTTTCTTAAAGATTGGAAGACAACCAGTGAAGCAAGCTTATCTTCTGTCCTTTGGTCTTACTTAATATTAAAAACTAACCCAACATCTCTGCTTTCTCTCCAAACACCAGTATTATTGTTGCCTTCCTCTTACCAAAAGTGGAAGGAAAAAATAAAAAAGATGTTTTCTATTTTTTTTGAAGGTATTCACTCCATCCTTCCTTTACTGGAGGACCCTGGTGAGATTTTTGAGGATCCGAACCAACAAAAGCTCTAACACTTATCAATTGACAAGATTCTTGTTCCACCTTTATAAGGAGCAGGCTGACTGAGATGACCACAGGTAATAACGCCAGCAACATCTGCTAAGAGGAAAGATTTCTCAGCTCCATCCTTAGTCAGCTCCTTCTGGAAAGGCTTCTAGCAGGAATAGTAGTAAAAGAGGGCTAAAGAATTCTACTATATAGGACAACTGGGAAAGAAAAGTAGATTTGGGAAGATGAGTTCTAGAAATAGGCATGGGGAAAATCCAAACTGATATTCTTGGAATCACTTAGCAAGGGCATGAATTATATCACTTAATGTACTGACCCAAGACTTGTAACCATTCATTGCTCTTAAGCTAACAGGATGCATGATAATGTGTCTGCCACTTGGAGCTACATCTTAAATGTCCCTGGAACTGGTAATAACTGCACAAATTTGCATCTGAAGCAACTTAGTAATTTTTATATTACATTGCTCCACAACGTATGTTTTAAGCAACTAGGCAAAAACTGTTCAGGTGTAGTCACCTATCTGGAAATCCAACTCTCTTCGTCCATCTTATGACAGTGACTTTCAACTTGCTGGATATTTACATATCAGTTACATTGCGTAATTAATTGTGACATGTTGTAAGTCCTTCAGTAAATGTTACACTATAGCTACTCAACTGATTTTTTTATTTAGGATTTGCTCGGGATGCAACATTTCATAGCTGGAACTCCACATGTGATTTTCATGGACTATACAAAACCTTTTTACATAGAATACTGGTGTGTTTTCCAACACCTCTGTCAGAAGCAAAACCTACCAAGTCAATTTATGAATGTGGGTGTGACTGTATCATTTGTACCCTGCTTTGGATACACACACATAATACAGAGACATGATGCATTTTGAAACTCTGGTTTTAGGCCAGAAATTAAATATTTTACAAATCTCCATCAATATTTAGATGTCAAGGGAAAAATGTAGCTTATTGAAAACCAAGAGACAAACAAAAGGAATTGCAGTTAAATTCCCTACTCTCGTTCCATCCGGTTGATCTGCAGACGAGTTTCGGCTAGTTTGCTCTCCAAATCTTTCAGTCTACATTTCGGATTGCTGGCCAAATCACACAGCTGTAGTTCTCCTCCAGCTGAATCCTACCAGGAAATGAAGTCACACTGCTTGAATGTTCTGCCTTATAGATTCCCTCAGCAAAGTACTATAGCTTTATAGGCAGATGTAGTTCTAAATAGTTCAGCAACAACAATTTCTAAAGAAACTGAGGATAAAAGTAATTGTATTCTCTCTGAGACATAAGCAATACCTTTCAGGCATACCAAACAAAGACTCAATCATATAAAGAAAAATATTCACTTATTTTATACCTCATGGTAGAAATTATGGAAGGTCTGCATATGTAAATTTATTGCCTGAATCATCAGAACAAAACATTTTGGAGATGTGTTGCACAGTTGGTTTCTATCAGTTAGTCAACATCTGATTGACTACATCACCAATCGAAGTAAACTTTTTGGGAATTCATGTACACAAAATAACAGAAAAAATGTTATTAGAACACAGGAGGCAAGTATTGTCATTCCAGAAAGCTACTACTTTACTACACTACTACACATGTAGTTGCCTTTAACAACCCATATAATGGCCTGCTAGTACTGGGATTAGTGCAACAGGTTTTTCTTTAAATTTTGAATATCACATGTAATGACAAATCTGTCACTGGTATGCCTGGGGTACTGTCATTTAATAACATCATTATTCTATATTTTTGGGGTTTCTTCAGAGCCCCATTCCTGCATTATACTATAATCTGACTCTTAAGGGATATCACTTTTTATTTGTTGTATTTTAATTGTGAAAGATTTTGACAGAGCAGGTGTAAAAATGAGAAACCAAAGAACATAGACACATCAGTGTCAAATTTCAGGATCTTGTAGATCTTCCCCTAGTCTGAATTAGCCATCTCTTATTTTCTTTCAAAACAGAAAGCCACAACATCTCTGTGTTTTCTGCCAAACGGTTAGTATTACACCCCTTCAGTAAATACCAAGTACATAGGAACTCCAGGAGCATGGTGGTATCATGACACGCATGAGTACTTATTTTTTTAGCTGCTTCAGGAAATAATATACTATTAAGATATTTTTAGAATTCTTTTCTTAAAAAAAATAAATAAATAAAAGGAGCTCACAGATTAATGCATGGAGTTTATGCATGGAGCTTACTCCTTCAGTTTATACATGTATTTTCAGTGTTAATTTTTCTAAAAGAGATATGGCATAAATACTTTTATGATGTCTCTGCAAGTATAAACATAGCAGATCTTTACCTAGAAAAGGAAACTAGTTTAGTGACCTAGACTTCTTATACAAAGCAAATCCCTTCACAATAGCATGGTTGTCTCTGTAGGGGTGTCCAGGAGCAACTAAGGATATATTTCATTAGGTAAAATCTGAGAGGAATGCTAATATTAACAGAAATTCATTAATGTCTTTCTGCAGGTATAAATTCATGTAGTTCTATTCCTTTAAAATAAATTTCTTACACACCTGTGCTCCTGAAGCAGCACAGCATGGGCTTGGCGTGATACAGCTTTTTATTACTTCTGCGCATTTATCAGCATCTAAGAAAACACATACATTAAGAAATGGTGAGAAAGCTTACAGAAAGAGCCAAGTTGGAAAAAAATGCCCTATGTGAAATATGTGTAATTAATAATTAGACAGGACACTGATTTACCTTGAGATGTTTCACTGAGAATTGAGAAGAGCTGCTTTTGAATTGCGGTGTTCAGTTCTAATATTTCACAGCATCGGCTCATATTTTCACAACTGGAATTCATCTGTAAATTAATGTGCATTACTACATCTGTGTGGGCTTTCTTACTTAAAGTTATCCCTGTTACAATCATGGCATTTTTCCCACCTATAATTACATCCTCCCAACCTTTTCTTACTGGATCCATTAGAATACTCATTTTTTAAGGTTCACATTATTAGTAGGCAAATGAACAAGACATCAGGATTTCTGTGACCCAGGTAATTCACTACTTGAGAAAACCTACTGCTTTTCCATCATAAAGGGGCTGCAACCACAAGTGTCTCTAAAAAAATAATCATAGCAATTGTGAATCTGAGTTTAAATCTTTCAACAGTTATTAAAATAATAATCTAGCAGATTATTGGATTAAAAAAAATCTAGTCCAAAATCTGGTATTCCATATTAGTTGAAATAATACATATGAGGTTCTTATCTTGCTTCATCAGCAGTCACATAAAGCCTCCATGCAATTTCATCTGATTTTTAAGAGTTCCAAACTGAAACATAAACTACTGAAGGAGCAAAATCCAGCATTATGCCTAGGAAACAGCAAAGCTACATCATTTTCAGCAAATGAAATTTTGAAAATGAGTTGATGGGGTTAATCTGTCCAGGATACTACTGCACCTGCCAGGAGAATACACACATTGTACCTGCTTCCTTAATCCTTACCTGTAACCTGTGTATCACATTCTACATAGATTACCCTCTAGGTCTTCCGATTTTAACGACTCCATATGGTTTTTACAAGCTTCCAAAACAGCTGAAATTCCCAGCCATGCCCCCATCAGCTTGTGTTTTGATTGCTGCAACATGCTTTCTTCAGGCCTTGGGGAGCACAGTCAACCTGCTCACCTCCACAAGAACACAGCTGCAAAGCGCTTTTTTCCAGCTCATTACAGCAACATAACACGATGTTTCCATCTGCCAGCTCTTACTTTTATGCAACAGCAGCCTGAAACTGCTCATCTTCATTTTCCAAGACATTAAAGACCATTCCCCACCAACTTATGATGGATAGGTCAGCCCCCACCGCTGCTCAGCCCTCCTAAGGTCTACCTCCACCATCCATCTGCAAGGTTTTGAAATGCACTGTTCCTCCTCTGTGGTAGTTTTACCAGCTATTCTCAAACTCCTTAAAACTGTCCTTTGTCATGAATCCTGCAGAGTTACCCTGGCTATGTAACTGTAACTCTTGTCCAACCATGAAGTAAAAGAAAATAACTGATTTCCCCTGAAAACGCTGCATCTTTTCTCACTAGCCACCGGCCACCGCACACGGTAGGTGGTTACATGCTCGTGACCAACTATCTGCATCCTGAAGGTTGACAAACCTGGGGACGCAGGACTGAAAACTCTGTTAAACATTTTCCGCTGAGCAAAGTCAGCTGTCAAGTCTCAAGTTCCTTCGCTTCATTTTTCCCTGAATTTGCGCCTCTACTCCTTCACCTGTCCCGCCTCCTCAGTTTCCCGTTACTCCTCCGTGGATTCCACTACAGCCTTCTCCTTATACCCGAAACTCTTCCCTGAGCCCCGTTCTGAAAGCCCCTCAGCGGCTGTGCTGCCTTGCAGCAGCCTCTCAGCCCTACCAGGTTTCCCCACTCAGGAGAGCTGGGGTGCTGGATAACCCGCTCTCCTTTTCAGCACCCTTTCCCCTCACGTCGTCCCGACCGTTCCTGGGCCACAGCCGACTCCGAGCACAACCGCACCCGCGGTCATTCTACCTGCCGCTCGTTTGCTCCAACGCCCAACTCTGTTTTAAACATAGGCAGTACCTTTCAGATCTCACTTTTAACCTTCAACCCTCGTTTTCAGGGAGCCTGGTCATGGACAAAAAGCCGGAGAGCCGCAGCCCTGGGTGCTGGAAAGGTGTTAAAACTGCGCTAACTGAAGGGCGCGCGGGGCGGCGTGCCAAACCGTCCAGGGGACCGCGAGCGGCGGCCGGTACTCCCCCAGGAGCGAACGCCCGCCCTCCTCGAGCAGCGGCAGAACTCACCTCGTAGTCGTGATGCCAGTTCTCCAGCTTCTGCTGCAGCTCTCGGACGCTTCCTGCGCCCAAAAGACTTTTTAAGTCTTCTGCCATAGCCGGATGTTAGTTCGGTCCCGGGGGCGGTGCGATGACTCCCGTGTCCCTCCGAGAGCACTCCTCGGGCGGCGAAGATGTAACGGAGATGGTAGTGTCAGCCCGGTCCCCTTTTCCCTGGGCTGGGCCGCGTCCGAGGGTCTTTGGAGCCGCGGTGGTGAGGCGACGGCCGGCGCGGTGACGGCGCTGCCA